TGTACCACTGTACACGAAGTTGTTATGTACCACGTAACGAAGTTGTTATGTACCACTGTAAACGAAGTTGTTATGTACCACTGTAAACGAAGTTGTTATGTACCACTGTAAACGAAGTTGTTAAGTACCACTGTAAAGGAAGTTGTTATGTACCACTCTAAAGAAGTTGTTATGTACCACTCTAAAGGAAGTTGTTATGTTCCACTCTAAAGAAGTTGTTATGTACCACTCTAAAGAAGTTGTTATGTACCACTCTAAAGGAAGTTGTTATGTACCACTCTAAAGGAAGTTGTTATGTACCACTGTAAGCGAAGTTGTTATGTACCACTCTAAAGAAGTTGTTATGTACCACTCTAAAGAAGTTGTTATGTACCACTCTAAAGGAAGTTGTTATGTTCCACTCTAAAGGAAGTTGTTATGTACCACTCTAAAGAAAGATGTTATGTACCACTCTTAAGGAAGTTGTTATGTACCACTCTAAAGAAGTTGTTATGTACCACTCTAAAGGAAGTTGTTATGTACCACTCTAAAGAAAGTTGTTATATACCGCTCTAAAGAAAGTTGTTATGTACCACTCTAAAGAAGTTGTTATGTACCACTCTAAAGGAAGTTGTTATGTACCACTCTAAAGAAAGTTGTTATATACCACTCTAAAGGAAGTTGTTATGTACCACTCTAAAGAAAGTTGTTATATACCAGTCTAAAGAAAGTTGTTATGTACCACTCTAAAGAAGTTGTTATGTACCACTCTAAAGGAAGTTGTTATATACCACTCTAAAGAAAGTTGTTATGTACCACTCTAAAGGAAGTTGTTATGTACCACTCTAAAGAAGTTGTTTTATACCACTCTAAAGGAAGTTGTTATGTACCACTCTAAAGAAGTTGTTATGTACCACTCTAAAGAAAGTTGTTATGTACCACTGTAAGCGAAGTTGTTATGTACCACTCTAAAGAAGTTGTTATGTACCACTCTAAAGAAAGTTGTTATATACCACTGTAAGCGAAGTTGTTATGTACCACTCTAAAGAAGTTGTTATGTACCACTCTAAAGAAGTTGTTATGTACCACTCTAAAGAAGTTGTTATGTACCACTGTAAACGAAGTTGTTATGTACCCCGAAACGAAGTTGTTATGGACTACTGAACCTTGTTCTGTAACCGTTGCTAAGGAGTCTACAGTGACGACAATTATGAGGTTATCACGTCGGATATATATTATTGTTAGATGGTGATATTTGGATACATCGTTAAGCGAAACATACCTCTTTGACAGATTAATATGTGCATCTTCGTGATATGATTCAAACTAGAAAGTCATGACGACATGATCCATTCGTCAAGGGCGTAGACGGCACCAGCAGTGGACAGAATCGCATGTCAGATGTGTATAAATGAACGAACTAGACGAATTCATCTAAAGTGCCATTCAGATGACACCAGGTTTGAGCAGGATGTTGTGGTTAATTCGTTTCCATGTCTTCATCTCACCAATTATTATGTAACCGTCTACTTCAGCGAAGGCTCGTAAATCAAACTCATCTTTTAAAGGTTCTAATCTGCAGGTTCTTTTGAGAACGGATGTGTATTTCAGACAAGAGACAAGAACTGTCTTTGTGAGTGAATGAGTGCAATTTGATAGTGAATGGAATATTTTGGCAATATATTCATCACCCATTTCTGATGTTTCGCGCTGTTTTTATCCCCGAACGTTGACGATTACTCGCTTGTTCACTCACTTGTACTCTCATTCACTCACTCACTCACTCGCTTGTACTTTTACTCACTCACTCGCTTGTACTCTCACTCACTTATTCGCTCGCTTGTACTCTCACTCACTCACTCGCTTGTTCTCTCACTCACTCACTCTCTTGTACTCTCACTCACTTATTCACTCGCTTGTACTCTCACTCACTCACTCATTCAATCGCTTGTACTCTCACTCAATCGATTGTACTCTCCCTCCTTCCCTCACTCACTCACTCGCTTTTACTCTCCCTCACTCACTCACACACTCGCCTGTACTCTCACTCACTCGCTTGTACTTTCACTCACTCACTCACTCACTCACTCTTAATGTTTAACGTCCACAATCCAATTCTAGTTTCAATCCTGTGATCTCTTGGGCCCTGTAATTTCGAGATGGAATCTCCGATCATGTTTCCTGATTTTGCATCACGAAATTCGTGCCCATGGATTTAAACACCTGATACCTTCAGGCTTCTCTCCCACATCAAGCTGTGACTCCGTTAAAAGACGGTAACACTGTTCGAAGCGGGGGTCAAACCTCACTCACTCACTCATTTACTCACTTACATCTGCATATTAGACATCTACGATACCTTTGTCTGGAGAGAAAGAGACCGATAAATTACAAAATGGAAAGTCTTTGAATTCTGGCATTAGAAGAATGACTTGTCAAATTAGTCTGCCAATTAATACATGCACGCTCTTTATAATGACATAAGAAAACCCATAATTCAATCATATGTCTGGGAAATGTCTCCGTGAAGTATAAGACTATACTGTTTCATGTACTGTGAAATGATGACAAAGTGTTTGTCTCGTTTTAAATTGACGTGTGTGCACGAGATCTGAGGACGTGTGCTCGAGATCTAAAGCGGCATTGTTTATACGTGCACGAGATCTGAGCACATGTGTGCTCGAGATCTAAAGTGGCATTGTTTATATGTGCACGAGATCTGAGGACATGTGTGCTCGAGATCTAAAGCGGCATTGTTTATACGTGCACGAGATCTGAGGACATGTGTGCTCGAGATCTAAAGTGGCATTGTTTATACGTGCACGAGATCTGAGGACATGTGTGCTCGAGATCTAAAGTGGTATTGTTTATACGTGCACGAGATCTGAGGACATGTGTACTCGAGATCTAAAGTGGCATTGTTTATACGTGCACGAGATTATACGTGCACGAGATCTGAGGACATGTGTGCTCGAGATCTAAAGTGGCATTGTTTATACGTGCACGAGATCTGAGGACATGTGTGCTCGAGATCTAAAGTGGCATTGTTTATACGTGCACGAGATCTGAGGACATGTGTGCTCGAGATCTTAAGTGGCATTGTTTATACGTGCACGAGATCTGAGGACATGTGTGCTCGAGATCTAAAGTGGCATTGTTTATACGTGCACGAGATCTGAGGACGTGTGCTCGAGATCTAAAGTGGCATTGTTTATACGTGCACGAGATCTGAGGACATGTGTGCTCGAGATCTAAAGCGGCATTGTTTATACGTGCACGAGATCTGAGGACATGTGTGCTCGAGATCCAAAGTGGTATTGTTTATACGTGCACGAGATCTGAGGACATGTGTACTCGAGATCTAAAGGAGATTGTTTATACGACGATCTGAGGACATGTGTGCTCGAGATCTAAAGTGGTATTGTTTATACGTGCACGAGATCTGAGGACATGTGTGCTCGAGATCTAAAGTGGTATTGTTTATACGTGCACGAGATCTGAGGACATGTGTGCTCGAGATCTAAAGTGGCATTGTTTATACGTGCACGAGATCTGAGGACATGTGTGCTCGAGATCTAAAGTGGTATTGTTTATACGTGCACGAGATCTGAGCACATGTGTGCTCGAGATCTAAAGTGGTATTGTTTATACGTGCACGAGATCTGAGGACATGTGTGCTCGAGATCTAAAGTGGCATTGTTTATACGTGCACGAGATCTGAGCACATGTGCGCGAGATCTAAGGAGATATTGTTTATCTGTATATATTTCTGATATGCATGAATATGTGTCTTTCAAATGTGTGTTCAATTCACTGTCCGAAATAGTTTCCAAATTTTGCTTGCCAGTCGGGCTAGCTATGCCTGAAAGTTACAAGCCCACAAAATAATTCACTAGCCCAAAATTTGAATGTAGAAACTAAGCAAAAGATTACAAAAAGGAAAATACCATCATTTATCAGGCCATAATCTTGCATGATTTAAAAGTGTAATATAACTTAACAAGTCGGAGAGCGTGAAGTTTACTGGCCCGACAGAATTTTTACTAGCCACGGGCTAGCGGGCCAGTTGCTATTTCGCACACTGAATGTACATCCGTTAGTTTATAACTGCGTTGTTCTCTCTCTCGCTCACTGAATATCTTTATTAGACATCTCCACGTCACAAACCAAAAGTTTTCAACTACAATTCCAAACTACTAATCTATACCTGCACCTGTTGATTGCATGGGCATGTGTAAGACTGGTTATGAACCGCACCCTCCGCCAGTATTTGTCAAGCCGTAAAGAGACCATCCTCGATAATCTCCAGGGTATACGTTACGATCACTCTACACTATACCCTGGATGCATCCACGGCTTGGCTCGATGATTTTATTACCTCCCTTGGCTGGCTTTTAATCCAATCAGGTGTCTATGCTGGGAAGTTGAGCGAACCAATCACAACTCACTTTCGCTTCTTAAATTATCTAACCGTTTAAACCTCGCAACACAATTGATGCAGAGGTACTCTGAAAGAGGTAGAATGAGTTCTTTGATATATTGGCTACTGTGAATATGCGGAGCCAGCAAAGGGAGGTAATATAATCATCGGGCCAAGCCGTGGATGCATCCAGGGTATAGTGGAGAGTGATCGTAACGTATACCCTGAAGATTATCGAGGATGTAAAGAGACACGAGAAGCGAGTTAAGAGAAGAAAGAGTTCACAGCGAGCAAATGTGCGCAAAATTGAAATAGAAACTTCAATATTTCCAGTGTAGAATACGCTGCAAACATTAACATTCTGAAGCCGAGTTTGAGATTTTGTTAGCTCACTTAAGTAATTAGTTTTAGAAGTAACGCCATTGGCTAGTGACAAATCGCAGCAAACCCAGCCATTCTGTCCTTGTTATCTGAGCGATAGCTCGACATCCGCATATGAGAAGCGTTCACGGTGATGGAGCGTTGTGTTTATCCCCGTCCTTAATCTGTTCAGGGTCTTATATCTGTAACCTCTTGAATAATATCATCTTCTCATTCACAGGTTATCTTAGTCCCGCCCCCTGGTGGAAGATAAAGGAACACACGAAGCTACTTCAATCACAATGTATTGACCCATACCTGGCCGGGAACGAGATGTCTTCTTGTGCGTTCCCTAGGAGTGATAGACGCAGGCCACTTCCCACACCCCTCTCGCAGACGACACTTTACAAGCAGACGACATCCGGTCTCCTTTCTCGTGATAACACCCCTAACTCGGTCACTCCAGAACTGTTACTCGTTCCTTCCCCAGCGATATCCTGATCGCCATGTGCCTGGTGTGGAAAACTCTTCGTCTGTTGTTGCTATGGATACTTTACCCTCCTCCTTCCAACCCATGGGGGTGCAGAGGTCAGATGCCACCCACAATGGTCAACTCGACCGTTCCATGTCCGAAGAAATGTGTCTGCACGGAGTCGAACCCAGAGTCGAACCTCATGGTGGTGTGCATCGGCCAAAACCTGACTGCTGTGCCACCAAATCTCAGCCGACACACAACCCATTTGTAAGTATCTAGATGTTTCCTGAATATACCACTTTCGTCATGAATCAAAGAGTGCAGACAGTATACTGAACGTCTTAAAGCATACTGCAATTTGTTTTAGCTTTAGTCAGACGAAGAAGAGTTAACATCCAGAAAGACTTCAGACTGTTGTTTTAAACATTGTCTTCCTTCAACCCACAACATATAGAAACATTTATCTAACTCCCTACAATTGACAACACAGCCGAACAGTGTAATGTAATGCGAAGACCTCACGAGGTTTGAGCGCTCTATATATCGCCTTCGGCACAATATTTAATTATACAAGATACAGTTGCGATTTTAAAAGTCCTAGTTTGGCAAATTACTTTAAATCTATACGTATGTATAAAAACGTCTATTTACCAGCGTCATGACTAATGAATCTCAAATGTCTATCAATATAGGAAAACTAGAATGTTAAACCCGTTCCTTATATTAAAAAACCCGATTACTGCTTTATCGTGTTTTTCCTGTTTTGTTGTTGGCGATACACACGTGTGCTGTTTTGCGGAAAGCACATCATGACACAGCTGTGAGATGCAGGAATAGAAACCATCGCCATCTCTTGCTGTTTTCCTTTATTTATTTGTATATCTTGTATTGCTTATTACATGTATACATTTACTCATCGATAGATAGGTCTTCTGATGTAGGGTACGTGTAGAGGTGGTTGTGTCGCGAGGCAATTGTCAGAGAGGTGGTTGTGTCGCGAGGCTATTGTCAGAGAGGTGGTTGTGTAGCGAGGCTATTGTCGGAGAAGTCGTTGTGTTGCGAGGCTAATGTCAGAGAGGTGGTTGTGTCGCGAGGCTATTGTCAGAGAGCTGGTTGTGTGGCGAGGCTATTGTCAGATAGGTGGTTGTGTGGCGAGGCTATTTTCTGTGAGGTGATTCTGTCGCGAGGCTAATGTAAGAGAGGTCTTTGTGTCGCGAGGCTATTGTCGGAGAAGTGGTTGTGTCATGAGGCTGTTGTCGGAGAAGTGGTTGGCTATTGTTGGAGAGGTGTTTGTATTGCTAGGCTAATGTCAGAGATGTGGTTGTGTCGCGAGGCTAATGTTAGAGGGTTGGTTGTGTTGCGAGGCTATTGTCAGAGATGTGGTTGTGTGGCGAGGCTAATGTTAGAGAGGTGTTTGTGTTGCGAGGCTATTGTCGGAGAAGTGGTTGTGTCGCGAGGTTATTGTCAGAGAGTTGGTTGTGTCGCGAGACTATTGTTGGAGAAGTGGTTGTGTCGCGAGACTATTGTTGGAGAGGTGGGTCTGTTGCGAGGCTATTGTCGGAGAGATGGTTGTGTCGTGAGGCTATTGTCAGAGGAGTGATTGTGGCGAGGCTATTGTCAGAGAGGTGGTTGTGTTGAGAGGCTACTGTTGGGGAGGTGGTTGTGTCGCGACGCTATTGTCATAGAGGTGGTTCTGTCGCAAGGCTCGTGTTGAAGAAGTGGTTCTGTCATGTGGTTAGTTTTTGAGGGGTGGGTCTTTCGCGATTCTATTGTCAAAGGGGTGGTTCTGTCATGTGGCTGGTGTTGGAGTGATGGTTCTGTCATGTGGCTAGTGTTGAAGTGGTGGCTCTGTCATGTGGCTGGTGTTGAAGCGGTGGTTCTGTCGCAAGGCTCGTGTTGAAGAAGTGGTTCTGTCATGTGGTTAGTTTTTGAGGGGTGGGTCTTTCGCGATTCTATTGTCAAAGAGGTGGTTCTGTCATGTGGCTAGTGTTGGAGTGGTGGTTCTGTCATGTGGCTAGTGTTGAAGTGGTGGTTCTGTCATGTGGCTGGTGTTGGAGCGGTGGTTCTGTCGCTAGGTTATTGTCGGAGGGGTGGTTCTGTCTACTTCTACTACTACTACTACTACTACTGCTACTGCTACTGCTACTGCTGCTGCTGCTGCTGCTACTGCTACTGCTACTACAACTGCCGCAACTACCACGACTACTACCAGTTATAATCGCTTCCTCTACTGTCTCACCACGTATTACAGAAGCGAGTGGGTATTTCCTGAGGATGTGCTAATCTATTCTCTCATCCCCTTGTTGCAATCAATGAGCGTCGATCACTGTTAAAATCCATGTCCTGCTACAGAAACCTTATTGATAAAGAGACATAAAACCACACACTGGTAAATAATAACGCCACTGCTTATCAAATACAAGCTCAGCCAAGTAAGCTCCCTGGAATCTGCTGAACAGTGACTCATGCTTCCTCCTCCCTCCGAGGGGCGGTGGGGTGGCCAAGTGGTTAAAGTGTTCGCTCGTCACGCCGAAGACCTGGGCTCGATTCCCATATGGGTACAATGTGTGAAGCTCATTTCTAATGTCCCCCGTCGTGGTATTGCTGGAATATCACTAAGAGCCGCTTAACGCTAAACTCACTCACTCACTCAACCAATATCTAACAGACAGGCTTACCCTTTTCGCGAACACCTGTTGTCATCACAGATTTTCAGAGATCCATAAAATGTCCACCACAGATTTGCCTTGTATGCCCTCTGGAACGTGTCTGTCAGGTAATCGAAACACATTATGCCCTGGCGTTGACACTGGAATAGCTCGCCTCAGTACCTTAGTAGTTACAGAAAAGGGAGCTCAGACAATGCGCATATATTGTACAAACAGTTATTATCTATGTATATAGTTTATGTATTTGGGTTTTATCATCGGTCATATCAAATGACTTCACATGTGCAAAATGTTTTGATACAGTAATGGTAACTGTGGAATGAAACATACCTTAGGGTACCTCGTATATAGCCCATTACCTTCGAGTCTGTTCTTGCTTTTCAGGCCACAACATCTTTGTTATTTTCTCGCCGTTCACCTTTCATATTTTCATGGGGGTGGGGGTGGGGTGTTTATTATGCATTAACAATACACAAAGGAAGTTTATATTGTGCCTATATTGATTTAAAGTCAGCCTTTGATGCAATGGAGAGGGATATCGTTTTGTATGGTACGTATGAAAGTAAATAGGTTTGATTTGTTGAGAAATATGCATGAAAATGTTAGGTCTTGTTTCAATGAAGAATGGGTATACATGTATACATTTGATATAGGCTCAGGCTGCCAATTGTTGCCTTTTCATTTTATGGGGATAATGTTTAATGTTTGGGATCAGATGATCAGAGGTGCAGAAACATAGAACTTTTAGAGTTCTGTTTTTTTCAGAAGACCATGTTGTCTTTGACTGTACAGCTTGGACAATTGGTTATATATTGTAATATATGGAAATTAAGATTGATAAGAGTGAGGTGAGTAAGTAGAAACTTTTAAGGCTGGTAAACTAAAACGTTAGCAGAACAGACGGGGAAGGTATTAAAGTACTCACGGAAATAGAAATAAAATAGTTTTTGGCGTGTATTTCGTAGTTTTGAACACAACTAAAGTGTGATCGTTAAATATTCTATGACTAGCATTTTTCCCATCGTTTTTTAACACTTTTTTGTAAAATCATCCGAAATAGATGGGTTTACAGGAGAGAAAATCATCTCATTTTTACCTCTTGAAATTTCATCAACGTCAAAATGAATGTTTTTTATGCAAGCTATAGAATGCAAATGAGATGTACTCTCCACAGGTTCGCGTACATAAAATATTAATGAAAAGCATCACATACATCACATATTTACCCTTCATCCTATATTTCATTTATCCTAATTGATATACAAAATAATTGATGTAGGGATTTTCTCGGTACTTTTTTCATGCCTGAACTCTTGTTGAAAGGTTACAAGTTTTACGAATTCATAGCTTTGATTGTTAACTGCACAATCGCTATGGCAACGCACGTGCAAATGCATCTTCCCGTCTAAACAGTGCTGCAGGTAGTTGTTGCCATCCATTGCTGATTGTGACGTAAGTTATAACATGTTTCTAATATGGAATTTGTTTTTCAATTTTATCTGTAAAATGGTATATTGGATGATAACAGGTCCAAATCAAAAGGCCTTGTTGGGAAAAAAAAAGTTATTTTAACATTTGTTAAAACTACCTATTTTATTGCAGTAATAAGCAAATAAACGCCCAAAACCATAATTTGTTTATTTCTATTTCCGTGAGTACTTTAACAATCCTGACATCGCCTGTAAAAGTGAGTGAGTAAGTGAGTTAAAATTCTGAGTTGAATCGGCAGTATTTCAGCCATTTCGTGACTGATAAAAGCCAACTCAGACGCAATAAATACCTGTCAATGAAAGGCTTTGTTACCTATTGATATTTTGTTTCATATAATTGATATTATGATTCTTCTAATGCTTATGTACGGGTGTGAAATTTGAGGATTTTACCATTCAGCTAATATACATGTTCATGTTAAATTTATCAAATCTTAATCTTCTAAAAAAATGCACCGTTATTGCACGAGGTGAAACTGGACGATATTCATTTAACGTTTGCATTGTAAAATGATTAAACATTGGATCCGATTGATATCTGATATGCATAATGTTATCCTGAATAATATATATAAATCTCAGTATTATATATCTCGCTATTTTATTATTAAGTGGGAAATTGAATGTTGGACATTAAATGCCAAAACCCACTCTAAAGCTAGGGATTTGGTAAAGTGTGGTTTGGGGAAGATATTGGAAATATTACTGTTTGTCAGAACCTTTGGTTTATAATATTTTTGTGATTCCTTTAGTCGAGGGTCCATTTCGGTGCGCAACGGTTTGAACGTTGTTTCAGAGATCTTTTATTTGAGTACAGATTGGTCATGTGTTTAACATGATTACAGACATATAACGTACATAGTTATCATTTACCGGAACACATTGCGTCAATTACTTGTCTTCACGGATCAATACGTAACACACACACACACACACACACACACACACACACACACACACACACACACACACGTAACACACACACACACACACACACACACACACACGATACTTTCAATCTATTTAAATATGTACAGATATAAATAGATTGAAAGTCATTTATTCCCTAAAGTTATTAATGAAACATGTAGGAGTGAAATTTGTTTTC